TACCAGCAGTTGAAGCTCTGTCTGCTATATGAATAACTTTGCTTAAATTGTTTAAATCTATGAAATAGAAGGCTTTTATGATGTTTCAAAAACTTTCAATTAACTAAAAATTAAACTAAAAGAAAAGTCTGATTTCAAATTAATTACGCTGGACTTCTCTTTTGATGGCGTCAATTGATAAAAAGGCTAATAAAAAGAAAGAACCAATTTAAACAAGATTCTCATTCGTGAGTATATTGATTTTGCCAAAAAAATTCTTGAATATAAAAAGTGCTGTTGTATCCTGTCGGCCATTTTAGGCTTTTGGGTCTGCGTATAAAATTCGAAGATCTAAAACCCAGTATTAATCGAAATTCAATCATTTTAGTTTCAAAAAAATCTTTCAGTTGTAATTTTTTAACCTTGAGTTTTTAAAATCAAAAGCGTTGTTCGTTGCCTCTGCCTATTGTTACGATTGCTTCCCTTTCATTTTTTCTTATTGTTTATAGTTTTTTCTAAGCAGTTTTCACGATTATTAATCTGTTTGAAGCACCATAGCTGCGCTACACGCCAGTTTCATTTGGTGGTGTCTCGTATTTTCTTGCCTTATGGCTTTTGAATCTCCTGAATTAAGTTTTGTCGATGTTTGTTACCGCTCCAGAGGTAATTTTCTCAAGATAATATAGGCTAAGATTTTCATAATGTTGCAGCATACGCAGTTAGAAACTTGTTATGTAGTGTTTACAGTAGCAAAGCTTGTGTGATAGTTTGAATTCTTTCTTTTTTTTCAAACCTTAATGGCAAACATAAATATGCGTCCTCTCTATAAGTTGGTAGGTAATTTTTTTTTCATATTGTCTGGTATTGCTCATGCGTTATACTTAGTCAATACTTAGAAATTATGTAGATTCATAATGTGTTTGCGTCACTTAGCAATTATGTGGACTCATAATTGGCGTGCGTCACTTAAAATTTTTTTTGACTCAAAGTTTTACTCATTCAGTTTTTCCCAGTAGCGTTATCGGTCATATTTTCGCTTGTGTATGCGAAGTGCAACTTCGCCTCTGTGTATTTTTTGTCGTGCAAAATAAGTTTCGGCGATGTCATAATAGCGATAGATTTCGGCCTTATTTTATGGTTGAGTTACCTGTTGCAATTTCCTGATACTTGAGCAGGTTTTTTTAGAAGTTTTTTAAAAGTTAGTTTCAAAATTTTTTTTATAGTTTTTAGAAAATATTTTCCGGATTTAGGTTGAATCCTTATTCTTATATGTCCCCTAGTTGAAAAACAATTCAACAGGAAGATTTTTCAGCTAGTTTTGAGTAATATTCCTTCTTTTTCCAATATATATCTGTATCTGCTTTTAACATTGTTTTTGCCCTCATGGTTTTTGTTTTTCTTGAGGGTTTTGCTTCATTTTCCTCTTCAATGCTGAATGTCCGGCTGAAACAATTTATCTGTGGCTTTGCCCTTTGTATCCTAAATGGAAACCTTACTTTGAAAAATAGAGAAAGCAATTATGGAGGTTTTTGGCTACCTGTCTTTTGCTGAGGCTTTGTCATCTTTTTATTGATTCTGTTTTAAAAAAAGCTAATATAAAGCTTGCTAAGTGATGTTTCTGTGCTTAGAGTCAATTTTTGAAAGCCCAGCTTGTGCCAATTTTTTGGTTTCAGCCTTTTTCTTATCTATTGAATGGTTTCATCTGATGTATCCATAGAGTTTTTTCTACTCAATTTTCAGCCACTCTAATTTAATTTAGTTACAGATACGAGGTCATGTCTTTTGAGTTCAATTTGAGCTTAGAAAGTTCATTTCTTTCAAATTCTCGCTTTGACTTGCCTTCCAAAGTTAGTTGTAATGCTAACAAAGAGCTGGTTGGACTACTAACTATAACTGAAAAACAAATCGGTTACACTGGACCTACGGTAACAAATCATCTCAAAATTCCGACCAAGGCTTCAAGTTTGAAACGACCAGCATCAATGATTAATTTTCCTAAGCTGTCAGCAAAGATTGTAAAGAAAGTTGAAAATGATAATCTAAACGAGACCAAAATTCAAGTTTTTACCAATTCCGTTTCGTTCAAACAGTTGTTCAGTCCACAAGGTGAACAACTTTTCATCTGTGAGTCGTGCAACCATCAGTGCAATCTAAGAAGTAACATGGTGCGTCATGTAGACGTCAAACACAACCCAAGTGCACGCAAATTCCCTTGCTCAATGTGTAGTTTGCAGGCTAAGTTCAGATGGCAACTGCAGACACATTATGTCAAAGTGCACAATCTTTCTCCTACAGTAGCGAAGGCAGCTGCTAATGAAAGCTGAAATTCGAAAAAGCAGATTTAGTTATTTGAGGTTTTGATTTTTGGAAGAATTGTCTTTCTTGATTCCGAATTTGAAACTTCAAGAATTAGAATTAATTGTTAAGTGTTGAAGAAAAAGAAATACAGGGCTTATGGAAAAGTCTAGTGAGTTATGTAAATGGAGAATAACTTGAAAATTTTTTTAAATTTTGGGTACAAATGAAGTGTTTTGCAATGATTCTAAGTTTGTATGAAATGGAAGCCAGTTACACTTTATTTGTATAAAGTATCTGTTTTTCGGCTTTGTTCTGTATTTATTTCAGATATAAAAGCTAGTGAAAATAGCGAGAAATAATCTGAAATGGTAAGTTTGCAGATATCGATAAGCTTTGATGAAGACCACGTTCAAATGCGCAATTCATTCAAAATTTGCCCTACAAACTCAAATCAGGTAGTAGGAAGGATACAGACAAAGCCCATTTTCAGAAACGATTTTTCGAGTAATGGCACGAACGCAACAATGTCTAAACGCACAAAATTAGTCAATGCTCTTCCATCTCCACCGCCTAAAGTTGCAAGACATGCGATGAAAGGGTTTCAGCCTCAGCATTTCCGAGAATTCATATCTGAAGGCGAAAAGGTCAAAATTGAAGCAGTCGTTTTATTCGGTATTGCTATTTTTTCGTAATTTTTAATCTCTTTCCTATCTCGTGTTCCAACGTGATAAGAAATTCATTAGCTGGACTGCAAAATGAATGTCGATATTTAACGAGGGCAGTGCATCCGGGTACCAATGTTTTTCTTCGTTAGAAATTTAGTATTCTCGTCGGAGTAACCACTCTTCACTTCAGTTTCCATGTTCTTTTTTTCTATCCGCGTTTTAATTCTTTTGCTATGAATAAAATCTCCGCAAAAAAGTGATGATATCTCGCCGCTATCTGAAACTATGTTATGTGACCAGCTATTGGCTGCTTTTCTTGGTTTTGTAAGATCAAGTTTTGGCTTGGGCGCATGATGATTAATCGAACCGGTTTGAATTTTTTAAGTTTGAATCTGATTTCGAGCGAGTAAAGCGATCGATGTACCTTTTTTTATTACTTTTCCGAGAGCAAATGTCTTGTAATCGGGAACTAGACTTTATTATTGAACCTTATCAATTTCGAGGCTCGTTCCCACTTAGCCCAGAGATAACATGGTCGATTTTGCACGCTAAGGTTTCATGAATTTGAAACTTTTTTCTAGTATAATTGAATTACCGGACTTTCGTTTGTCTTGTTTAAGTTTCGTCGGCTCAATTGCCACTTTGATTTTAAGTTTCGCCGGCTCAATTGCCACATGGATTTTTTTTGCAATTTTGTCAGCAATTTTCATTATAATCGTAAGGGTTGTTCATTGAAGTTTCAGGGGACTTGCTCAACCGGTGTCTGCTCAAAAAAATGTCTGCTTTGTTTCCGCTTTGTAAATCTTGTTCCTGTGCTAATTTAGTATTCAAATGTACTTTTTGTAGTTTGTTTCGACATAATTTTTTTTAAAAATTTGTGTTGTATCACAAGTGATGCAAAGCTCTGCTTCGCCACTGTTTTAATTTAAAATTGCGAGAATTTTTCTAATTTTCAAAATGAAATTGGTCGGAAGGAATATTATGTAGACTCATAATTGGCGTGCGTCACCTAAGAAAATTTGTAGATTCAAAGTTTTACTCATTCAGTTTTTCCAATTAGCGTTATCGGTCATATTTTTGCTTGTGTATGCGAAGTGCATCTTCGCCTCTGAGTTAATGGAACATTCGGCACGTCTGCTTCCACCGCTAAAAAACGAAAACAGTGTTACTACTGTGACCTACGCTCGTACAACACAAATGATCGTAGTAATGCAAGGAAACATGTCAATTTGAAGCACAACCAGAATTGCGTGAAATACCAATGCTCAATGTGTCAACATACAGCCAAAATTAGAGGTGATTTGAAGAAGCACTATATGAGGTTGCATGATTTGCCAGAAAATGTAGCTAAATCTGCAACTTTAGACAGCGTGCAAATTTAAAATCACCAGAAAGTGAAGATAACTAGAATAAAGGCAATAGAATGTAGATAAGAACAGCTAGTGGCTGTGCAAAAAGCATAAATTGTTCCGACCACAGTTGTTTTTGAAGAAAATCTCGAAAAGATAATCGTAGTTTTATTGTTTAATTTTAAAAGGTATTTATAGTTTTATTGACTTCTAAATATGAATGTATATGAGATTGTCTAAATGTAATTATATAGTTTTCCTTAAAGTCCTTAATTAGAATTCTGGGACTTATATTTTTTGTGAAAACTAACAGCCGTATGCAACGACACTTCCCACTTTTTATTGTCGCAACAATTACCGTCATGTGTGGTAAATGATTTTAAAATTATTAGTTTTTATGAGGCACGATTCGAGTTTTATTGCTTAACGTAGGGTTCACATTCGTGTTTTTTTCAGCCTTTCAATTGTAATTTATGGATCCTGTGTCCTGTAGATTTGGTGCATTAGTTGAATTTCTAAGAGTAATTACATAGATAAGTTCGAGTTGTTGGGACTGAAGTCGAGGTCAAGTTTTTAGTTAGTTATGAGCTCCCTTTTTTACTCTATAAAGTTCGAAATTTTACATGAATTCCTCGAATACATCGGTAAAGCTGACTCATTATCGAAATTCATAATCTGCGACGATAAATTTGAATACTTCATTGGGTCAATGCATGTGGCGCCTGCTTGGGAAAACAAGAAAAAGTCAAATCCAATTTCGGAAATTGTCAACAGAAAAAGAAACTTGACGGGTGATAACAACGGGAGTCCAAATGCAAAGGCTTTGTCGAATAGCAGCTTAGGAAGTTATAGAGAAGCAGAGTTAGTGAGCAGTGTAGATGAAACTATAGAAGCATCGGGAAAGAAATTATTTCTGTGCGAAATTTGCAACTTCCGGTCAAACTCACGGCCAGCAGTGAAGAAACATGTGTTCATGACTCATAGTCAAAAATGTCCCCGATATATTTGCATGTTGTGTGATGCAAAAATAAAAGAAAGAAGTAACTTCAAGAGACATTATGTGCAAGTACACAAAATGGGAGACGTTGAAGCTTGGACTGCAGTTGCGCAAAGTAGCCAGACCGATCCAACTTCTAGCATCTGAAATATGCTTGAAGTGCCTTGTTTTCTTAAAGAATCTAAAATTGTCTTTAAATGTTTAATTTAAATTACTCTTGTTAATGGTTACTTTTGTATCGAAGCTGAATATTAGATAGGGGATTTCTTTAAGTTAATAATCGTTTTCTTTTTGGCTGTACTGGGAACGTGAAAGCCATATCTCATTTGAATAAACCTCAAAGCTTGAGGGTGGAGCAACATTACCTTAGCCCAGAACAACCAAAAAACTATGGGGCACGATAGTGATTCTCTGTAAAGATCTGAAGAGCTCTATGTTGGCGCGTTACGTCGTGGATAAACCAAACCTTCCTAATATTTTAATCTACAAATGCTTCGAATGCATGAAGATGAATTATTTTGTTTTTTATCAATGTCTGTCCTCTTCATCCGCCCCTTTTTGCCTTGACGTGATTCGTTAGTCTTTTTTTTGTAGTGAAATATATCTTTCCAGAAGAGCTTTTTTCCGAAACCTGTTGGTATATTGGAAATTAAACGTATATTATACGATTGTATGTGTAAGGCTCGAACCAGTTAAAATCTTCATTTGACCTGAAATTCACATGTAACTTACCGTTAAATAACTTTAACGTTAAATAATGCAAGTTTGCGAAGAGTTTGGGAAAATGGAGAAGATCTTTGGTTTCAAAGTTTTTGTCGCCTGGGTTGTTACATCATTGCAATCCCCCCCCCCCCCCCCCCCCCCCCCGTGTTAAAAAATAAGAGTTGACATGTGAGGTTTTCTTTCAATTGTTTCTAAAAACCTATCCACGTTCAGTTTTGGTTTTTCGAACATTCCTAATTTGAAGGTCACTGTATTATTTTCTCATCATAAGGATTTATTTGCAAGCAATCTACAATATTTATGGGTTTGATTCTTTAATGATCAGAAACTTCGAATTATTCTATTCCTTTCTGTTAATACAATTGTCTGCCATAAATGTATGTATTTGTTTGCTGTTGCTCTTCTAGTTATTTCTTCATTTTTCATAAATGAAGGAAAAGTGCTGACAATGTGATGATTAAGAAACTGAGGGATTTTTTTTTGAGTCGTGATATAATTTACCAGTCAGTTGTTATTGTACCGACTTTTGAAGAAAACGGAATATTTATGCTCGATGTGTTTTTTATTCAGTCAATTTTCACCGATTGAAATAATTTTGTACAAAAAATTGTTATACCCCAATGAAGTTATTGACTTGCTGAGCTCAAATGTGAAAAGATATTTCACCTCCCATAAATTTTTGTAAAGTTCAGGGGGTTTGAAAATTGCCAAATTTGCCATGTTGTTTACTAAACTTTGCGCACTTTAAAGAGTTTATCCATAATGCTGAGAGCGTAACGCGAGTTTTTTATGCATGGCGAATTATCCCGCATAACAAAATCGTTCCAAATTGAATTGAGGCTAGCTAATTGGTCGTATTAATTTCGTACGACTCAAATTTTACACATTGATATTGTCCAAAATGTATAAGTTTTCAATATTTTCTTTTCCCAACAACGATTCGATATAAATCAAGGTACATTCTGAACATTCAGGGCTTTGCCCTGATATACGAGCAGTCTTGTTGTTTAAAATATTAGCTTATTTTTCCGACCATTTGAAAAATGGGGAGGCACTTTGTATTCGGGTGCGTTTCGGGATTTTCTTTTTCTTTGTTTTCCCAAGCAAGATCAGGTGCCAAAAATAATCATTGGAATGGTTTGAGTGATATATATTAAAGCGCTCTCAGTCCTGATCCGAACGATATAAAAAAATTTCCAGAAAATGGCCAAGTATCGAGAACCACAGGCTTAAAATTTTTGATTTCTTTTAAGTTCGAGCGAATAATGAGAGCGAGCAGGCTTACAATAGCTTAGTTATGCTTAATTTAGGCCGTGAAAACTTAGTTGCTGTTTAAGAGCTTTAATAGCATAATTTTGGAATTTAGGCTTTTTTCCTCGCAAAATCAGCTACCACAATCATTGGAATGGGTCGCGTGATATATCATATCAAAGTCTTTTCAGCAATGATTCGAACGTCCCGAATTTCGAACGTCTCGAATTTAGTTCAATTTCGATAGACGAGTAAAGCAACTGAGCGAGTAGGCTTTAAATAGAATGATATGCCTTAAAACTTTATGATTTACTCCTAGATATTTTTTTCAACGCCGTCTTGGAAATATGAAACTACAATCAAGATTTCAAATGATTTTAAGTTCTTGTCTTTTTCGACAAAACTAATGTCCAATTTGCTTATTTCACTGTGACCGTCAAATATGCCTAAACTGTAGGATCTCGTCAGATCTTTTTATCACACCGTGCACAAAAAAACTAATAATTTGAAAAAATCAGCTTTTTTTGTATTTTGGTAAGAGTATGGTCGGAACATTCTGTGCTACTTGCAGAGCAAACGGCCATCCTTGTTAAATTGTGATTTTATCTTGCCGTCTCGTTAATAATGCGAAGCTCCTGCTTGCTTCTTTGTTAAGCCCTAACAGTAACTGTATTCGCAAATCTAATGAATGTCAATTCACGTTTAACAGATGTAATGACTAGTTCATCCAGTCTCTCAATAACCTTAGAACTATTCGAGGATTTTCTTAATGCTGTTCATATGGAGCAATCTTTACTGTGTGGACAGAAGTTACCCATATGCGATCCAAGTGTTCAGTTTTTTGCTGGAACTTTGCAAGTTGCATTTGAAAGAAGTGACAACTTTGGAAATTGCGCTAGCTCCATGCGGAAAAGACAGCGCGTGAATGATTTAGGCAAAAACGTGAAAAGTTTTTCAACAGCAAATCAGAATACTTCTAGTGGCGTGCAACAAGCAGAAGTTGTTCATAATTTCAAAGCGACAACTGAGTCATCAGGAAAGAAAGTGTTCATCTGTGAGTTTTGTGCTTACAGAGCCAACTCAAGGTCACATGTGAAAACCCATACAATGGTCACTCATAATCCAAATTGCCCCAAACTCATTTGCTCCTACTGTGGCTCCAAAATAAAGCAGAAAAACAATCTGAAAATGCACTACATGAAAGTCCATAAAATGAGTAGCACTATGGCTACATTGGCAGTTGCAGAGAGTAAAACCACCATGAACTTAACTTGAAATCTGAGTATTTTTATGAATCCGATGTCTTATTTCACTTGCGAGTCTAAGTGACCTGTAATAGGTATTTTGACTTTTTTCCGTTAACAACTTTTTACACATTTGCTGCTCAGTTTCAGCTGCTGATCAGACATGCTCAGTTTCCTGAAATTTCAAATAAAACTACTTCTTAGTTCACATGAAGTAGTAATTATTTTTTGAAATGAATTTACTATAAATGAATCGAATTTACTGTTTTTTTTCGGACTTTTGGTTTTCGTCTTAATTTTCGTCGGCTGCGTTTCCGTTTTTTTTTCTTTTTTCTAAATGCAATTTATGTTATCTGTTATGCTTCTTAAGTAGTTTCCTTTCAAAGCTTAGGTTCTCATTTATGATTCAAACAGTTAACTCTTGCTTGATAAAAATGTATTTGGTTTTTTTTTCAAAATGACTTTTTCAATTTATGAAAAAAGTACCAATGGTAAGACCAAGTATCTTTTTACCGTAAATTTTTGAGTTCAATGGAGAAAACGGGACTAAATCTAAATTTTTGGTTTCAATGTAGAAAACGGGTCGCGTTAAGCTTCTTTGCAATAGAGGCTACGCTCAAGTTTCAACCAATAAAGTAATCGTCCTTGGAAAAAGGTAGTTTTTGTTTTTTGACCGTTATTTGAAACTTTTTTTTTCTTGCAGAATTTGCCCTCCTAAATATGAGATTTTGGGTTCATGAATAGGCTGTGGGAAGATCCTCTGCATGAGCTGGTAAGACGAAATTTTCTACACAAAAAATTATGTCTCTTGAAACAGTCAAATTTTATTATTTTTCCGTTTTTTGAAGCATTTTCACTTTTCCCAAAAATTTATATCCCAAACGTAAGATTTTGGATTCAATAAAAAAAGAATTGAGAGAAACTTCCCTGTATAAGCGGCTACGTCCTTTTTACAAAAACTTATAGACCTCAGAAATGTCAATGTTTTGATTTTTTGTCCGTTTTCTGAAACTTTTTGAGGTTTTTCGAAAAAAAACTTAGTCAAATCTGATATCAAGGATTTAGTCGAGTGCATAAGGGGCTACGACTTAAACTTTGTAAGAAAATTGTTTGTCCTTGAAACAATTTTCATTTTCTCATAAAAGTTCACTCTGATTTTATAAACAACTAAGGTTTTGGGTGAAGCCCAATTTTTGAAATTACCAATTTGAGCCTGCTGCACTAATACAAATTCATAAAAAATCACATTGTTACTTTCGATGGCTCCTAGTACTAAATGAGCCTGATCCGAGACAAATGTAAAAAATTTGTAGCATAGTTCTAACTTTTTTCAAATTATTTTTCAGCTCAACGTTTCAAAAAATGACTTTCTTTTCAACGTCTTTTTAATGCAATGCTTTAATTGTATGGCAAGTGTTGCGAAGCTCCGCTTCGCCTCTGTGTTCATTTTATTTTATTTTGAGCTCACCTAGCAAATACTTATATAAATCTGAGACTAGTTAATGTAACAAATTTTAATAATTTACATTAGTTGGATTAGTTTTCAGTTTAGTGTCCGGAACTTTAAAAATGCGTTGTAGTTTTTAAAAAGCCAATTTTTCAAACTTTTCGTATTATTTAGGTATCATGAATGTTTTCTATTCTTTGACTGTAGAACTAATTGAAGAGTTTCTCATCGCTGTTGAAGCTAATACGAATTCATTTATTGGTCACAAAATGCCAATATGCGATCCTGGTTTGAAATTTTTTGTTGGATCTGTAAAAATTGAGCCATGTTTCAAATCTCAAGAGCTATTTCACTCAAGAAAACGAGCCAATATTCCGACTCTGAATAAGCTTAAGCGGCTTACAACGGATAACTCTAGTAGTCTAGGCTCGTTCCGAGAAGCAGAGATTGTGAACTCATTCCAGGAATTGACGGCGACGACCGGGAGAAAAGTGTTTCTGTGTGAAGTGTGCAACTTCAAAGCTAATTCAAAAGCGGCTGTTAAACGACATGTGTGGATTACACATAGTGTCAATTGCCCCAGGTCAATAGTTTCATGCAACTATCACAGCATTTTAATTTCAACAAAAGCAAAATTGAGAAGTTTTTGTACATTATTACCAACAAGCGCATCTGCGGAATTTTCCATCGTCTCATTTAAATTTTTCTTAAACCTTTTTCATTGAATCTTTTCATGCTTTTTATAACACAGTCTAAATCTGATTGCTGCATGTTTGGTAATCCTTCAGGCAGGGGCGGATCTAGGATTTTCTCGATAGGGGCCGAGCTCTCCCACAGCATTAAATAGACCCTGTTTTGGTCAAATTTTCTGCGCCGCAGTCAAACTTACGAAAAAAAAAACAGGCCAAAAAAAGCATTTTTAGGCACTTTTTGGAAAACGCTCCCCCCTCAAAATAAGTATATATATATATATATATATATATATATATATATATATATATATATATATATGTATACGTATATTTTTAGGGTCCGTCTCCAAATATGGATATCTCAAAATAGTACAAAGAGGGGACCCTTTGGGTCGGCAGGGGGTCGAATCCTTAATAAAGTGAAACGTCCGCCCCCCCCCCCTCCCTAAATCCGCCCTTGCGTTCAGGTATTTTTGTTCGATGTGTTCGGCGAAGATCAAGGAAAAGGGCAATCTGAAAGTGCACTACTTGAAAGTGCACAAATTGAGTGATAGTATGGCTACTGTTGCTGTGTCCGAAAGTAGAATGACCACAGACGCTGAAACAGAAGCGAGGACAAGTATGATTGATGGAGTCATGCGACATTTCGTAACGACCGACAGATAAAATACTCGACAGTTAGTAACGGTAGATTAAGCGGCAATCGTGGATTCACGCGCACGATGTAGTTTTGGAAGCGGGCAAGTGTCAGTATCGTGTCGAGTATCTTGTTACGAACTGCCAGTGCCGTTTTACGAATTGTCGTTTGTTACGAATTGTCATCCAAACTATTGATATACATGATATATATGTATTCAGAAATGTATTTTTGCGATCCGGGAGGGGGGGGGGGGGGGTCGATTAAGAAAGTTTCTCTTGATTTAGCGTGGTTTGTAGACCGTATATTCTATTTTTGAGATAACCATCAATCATACTTGTACTTCAAGGTTCAACTGCGATATGAAATGAGTTAGATTTTCATCTCAAAGATCCTTAGAAAGCAGAGTTTTAGCAGAATAGCAATTCGAACCCCAATCGGATGTCATTCTGATTCTGTCAACCGAATGACTCCTGCATAAACTAGACAAACGAACGTCTTTCCCTCTCAACTAGAAGTAGTAAAATGAGGCAGATGTGAATCTACTCTACATAAGATGAACTAAAAATTAATTCAAATCTGAACTTTGAAATTCCTATTTAGTATTTTGCCAGATTTTTTATTAGTTTATTAATCAAGTGAAAAAGTTATCTAGATGTGTCCAAAAAATGAAAACCCTGTATTGCTAGATGATCTGTGACAACCTGATGATTGACATAATCAATAATTTTTAGGTTTGAAATGGGCGATATCAAAAGAGACGCTGATGTAGTTTTGGAAGCGGACAAGTGTCAGTTTGTGCTCAAGAAGAAGAAGCGGCAGTGTCGATTGACTCCAATGAAGAATGAAGTCTTATGCGGAGAACACATTATTCATTCTTACAAAGCGGACCAAAATCTGGAAGTTCCAACAAACGACACAACCCGTGATTTTCTTGAAAAGTTTCGGGAAAACTTTTCCAAATGAACTTTAAAAAAGCGGCTTTTTATTTCCCGTTAATTAGGCTAGGACTTAATGAATTTGTTTACAAGTTGTGCAAATTAATAGTTGTTTCACCCTTGCAATCTGCTTTTATGTTGTTTTCCTTGCTGGAATTGACTACAGAAATTTCCAAATTTTCATTTAATAATTCAAAATTTTTGCTTTAATAAGGGTAGCTTAGTAAATAAATCAAGTTGGTTTACATATTGAACATCACGAGATGCTGTTATCTCAGCCAGTAATAAAAGTGGAGCTCTTAAAAGAGTCAGATGTCCACTGGACCCAAAGCACACAGTTTGTGAGTCGAAGTTGACAAAACACATGAAAATATGCAATTCGAGAGACCCAGTTGAGCTTCCTTACTTCAAGAAAAACGTCAACCTTATTCCTCAAAGCGATGCGACAACAGTTAATTCATTTAAAATGACTGCATCATCAACTAGTAGTGATTTTTCAACTCCTTCCAAGAGTAAAATGGCACCTTCACCGGAAGAAGTCTCTGCAATTGTGAACAAAATTGAACCAAAATTTGGTCTTAAGTCTTCTAATTCCTTAGTGAAACAATTTCTGGACCACCCTAAAGTGTTTCTGGACGAAGCAGATCGCGATTTTACGTCAAAAAAAGGCAAAGAAGCTTATCGCCATGTTTTACAGATTGGGTCGTTACTACGAAAGTTGGAGGTGAATAACTATTTTGAGAATGATAATACTCTTTTTATAGAAATGGGAGCGGGCAGGGGACAACTATCATATTGGGCGGCGGTGGTAAAAGACAAAAAACTACCAATTTTGCTAGTCGACAATGCGAATGTGAAAAATAAATTTGACCATCACTACAAGTATGACTCGCCGGAGTTTTACCAAAGAATTAATATGAATATTGGAGATTTGGATCTTTCTGAAGTTCCTTTTCTAAAACAGTTTAACAACAAAAATAAAATAAATGAAGTCGAGTCGTGCAGCGACACGTTGCCAAATAGTAGAACATACGAGTTCTTAATGGCAACAAAGCATCTTTGTGGAGCAGCTACTGATTTTGCCATTACATGCGCTGTTAATTTTGCCAGAAAATCTGCACAAAACATACCCGACATGTTGCTTACATTTTGCTGTCATCACAGGTGTTCATGGGAAAGCTACGTTGGTAAACAATTTTTCCTAGAAAATAGTTTCACTGCAGAAGATTTTCACATAATGAGTAGAATATCAGCGTGGTACACATGTGGGGATAAATGGCATGCCGAGCATACAAATTCAAACGAGGGTGCAAAAAATGAAAATGAAGAGTACAATAATCTGAAGTATTCTGCAGAAGAGAAAGAAAGAATAGGACTGCAGTGTAAATATCTGATTAATTTGGGTAGACTGAAATATTTGGAGGGACTGGGAATGAAATGTGAAATGTACAATTATGTAGACTCGTCTGTCACTTTAGAAAACGTTGCTCTTCTAGCTAAATTCAACTCTTAATTTATTATTGCCATTTTTTTTATAGAGCTACGGTTGATATATTCAACGGGTTTTTTAAAAGATTTCTCTCAGCACAAAAGTGGTTTGGTTGCTCAAAGTTGGTTTTGTTGCGCAAAATTGGTTTTGCTGCACAAAATTTTCCCGCGTATCTTAACGCGAGATCTTTCAGAGTTTATTAACGCGAGATCTTCAAACAGTTCGACTTTAAGGATTTGAATCGACAAAATATGAACATAAAAAATTTTTACAAGTCGGAATAATTAAATATACTACTGTGAAGTAAGGCTATGATAGACTGAGAATAAAGAAACAACTAATTTCATATTTCTGAAATTTTTGCACAAAAAGCTCGTTTTTTTTTGTTAAATGGTTAATGTTCTTTGAAATATTATGAATCAACTTAAAAAAACATTGATGCTTTCGGTTAGATTTTTCACATTCGTTTAAAACCTTGCGTAAGATCTGTTATTATTTCTTGGAATAACTTCGATGCCTAATTTGCCAACTACATCAGTTATCATTGCGCAAACTATGAGATTCTGATTCGTTTGTAGATAAGTTTAGACGAAGAAATCCAGGTTGCAGCCAGAGAAATTGCAGCTACTCATTAAGTGATTTGAGCAATCAACGGCCAATTATTTGTTTTTCTCCTAGCTTATTTACTTATTTTGTATGTTTGTGCTTTTTTAAAGCTACAAAGGTTTTTTTCTTCAACTCACGTGATCAAAAAGTCTGGTTGAAAAATGGATATAGTCTATTAGAAAAATTAACATGACGCTTAAGATCAGCAAACTTTTCCAAAGCGTAGTATAGACTTTTTAAAAGTAAAACAACTTGTCTAAAAAATCACTGAAGTTATTTCTAATGTAAACTTTAAAAGTCCGATATTTTCTCAACCAACTGAGAACTTTCGAGCATTTCTGCGTTTCAAACAATCGTTGTAATGGAAAATCGATTCTTATGTTCGTTGTAAATTAACCAACTTTTTTTGCTACAGTTTCTGGTTTGTTTTTCTATTTGGACTGTGTAAGAATTCGTCTCGCTTTTATTTATATCAGCTTAGTGGTCTCATTTTGAATCTTTTAAAGAGCGGAAAAAATTTTGTATGCATGTGCTTGTTTTGAGAAGGGGACTTGTAAAGTTTTTTGTTTTTAATTTACGAAAACAGCTTTATGCAGCTCAACAAGTTTCTGCTCAAGTAGTTTCAGCTTTGCTACCGCTTCACAAGTTTGTTCCCATCTTAATTTTTCAATAAACTGCCCTGCTTGGCATGTTTTTCTTAAAACAAACAATTATCAAGACAAATCGAGACAAAAATCTCGAACTTGGGAGTATCTATTTTTCCACATTTTTAAACTCATTTCTGTCGACTTGGAGGCGTACTTCTCATTTTCTGTCGACTTGTTTGCCCTGTTATGTTTATTATATATGGCCACTTGTGCAAGTTTGCTCTTGGCCGCTGCGTTATTTACGTTATCGTATTGATTTGGCTTTTGATTTTTTTCAAATTCAGTTCATTTATTTTGTTAAGAGAAAGGCAAACTCCACTATTGAACCAAACTCCACAACGAAAGTGTAAATGTCAGGAAGAACGTGATTGATATCTAGCTTCGAAAATGGAATTTAAATATCAGATATCCCAGTGAATTAAAAGTTTTCTTTATTGATCCAGGTTTCTCAAATTTGGTTGATTTTACCAAAAAACACCAATTAAAAATTGTTCGGGAAGTTCTGAGAGCTTTAAGGGCACATGTTTTTTCTTCTTTTGAAATTGGAAAGTCAGCTTTTTTTCTGATTTCTTGCATTCATTACTCTTTTCAAACTGTCAGTTGGCTATGTTTGGATATCAATTGATTGTATTTCCGTAATCTGAGGAAACAACTAAAAGTCATTCACTTTTAAATAGCAAAATTATCAGGTCACAATTTGGTTTTTTATGCTGAAAACATGAAAAAAACACGAACGTTTGTTACGATCGACGATTCAGAAAGTTTTTTATTATGACTGAATAATAAGAAAGCAGATTGTAAGTTTCTTACCTGTTACCATTGTGAGTCCATAACGATAGGCTGGTATATCTCTGGAAAAAACTTAGTTGCAAAATGAAAATTAAAACTTTTTTTTACATGAACGAGACCAATCTTTATACAAAACTACAACAGACCACGGAGAAGATCACTAAAAATCAAAAAAATTTTCAAAAAGATATTGAAACCATGCATACTATAAAAAAAATTTTTAACTCTAATTGGATGACGCGAATCAGACTGAATTTTTGAGTGTTCTGGCTGCCACTTCAATTGAATGTGTACTGGTTAATTTTTTGTTTGAAATTACTTCTTTCAGACTGTTGCAGGTGTTTTTGTTTTTCAATTTAAGCCAATGTCTATAGCCAAAATATTTTTATGGAGTTTATCTTATAAATGGCAATGGCAAAGGTCCTTGGTTCGAATCTGACTGGACTTGTTTTTTTTTAAGCGCAAAATATTCCGTTTAAAAAAATGCCGGCTTATTATTTGTCTACTTATATTTTTTCGACTTAATTGCCACTTCGTAGATTTTTTTTTTGCTTCAAGCAAGTTATATTTTAGATGCTTTTAGAGTTTTGATTTACCTCTGCTGTTTGTAATTTTGCTACTCTTGGCTACGTATATTTTCATTTTTTTTGTTTGTTTTTTTTTCTTAATAAATTGATTCTGCCCAAATTATTCCCGCTTATATTTTATGAGCATAATGGCTTCATTTTGAGTGGTTTCACACAAAATGCTTTCATATCAGACAAATTGCTAAAAACTGTATATGAAAATTTTCATCACAACAATGTTTTTTCGCCTGTTTTTCTCTGCTTGATAAGTTTCAGCCAATAATAAATCGACTTAATGACCTAATTTAGCATGGTTTAACGAGTGAAAAAATAATTGCATAAGCGTGTGCGTGTGTTTTGAGGTTGAGATTATTGCACTCGAAATTTAAAAAGCATTTTTCTCAACTTAGGTCATTTTAGGTGAAAAATTAAAAAATTAAAAGACAAAACCTGTTCAAAACTTACGCAAAATTAATATGGTGAAATTATTTTCGCAAAACTTGGGCCCAAAGTTTTATCCCAAAAACCGATCGTTTTTTGGTTGTTTTAATCAATCATTTTTTGCACCAAAACTTCTGCATTGGTTTCTGACAAATCTAAATCAAATTGAGCCCAACAGAATTCAGGAAGAGTATATCTCCAAAAATTGACGCAGAACTTAAAAAAAAATTTGTACTGTAAAGTTGTTATTTTTTGTGGTAGAAATGACACTTAGCAAGCTAAATTAAATTTGTATCGAAAAAAATGAGGTTGACAAATTTTGCTTAAAATTTCAGGAGAATTTTTACGGTGCAATTTGTTTTTGCGAAACTCGGGCCTAAAATTTTAATCCGGCAATCGATCAACTTTGGCTGGTTTAGTTCATCAAATATACGCCAAAACTAACAAATCAATTTCTGACAAAAAAAATGAACTGAGCTTCTTACGTAGCCAAACAAATTTGAAGAAGGGTATAATCTCCAAAACAATGTAAAAATAACTTTAATTTTCTTGATTGACAAAAATGTGAATTTAACTAAATAAAACACCCCATTTGAATTAAAAACAACTATTGAAGGTTTTGTGCAGCCTTTTTGGAGATAATAATCTTTTTAAATTTTGATTGGTAAAATTTTGGCACCCAACTTCGCAAAACAAATTGCACCATAATAATTATGCCAAAAATCCAAGCAAGTTTTGTCAACATCCTTTTGCATCTATACTTGACCCAAAATGAGAAAAACGGATTATAAGTTTTTCAAACAAAACATCGCGATCAGTATCAAAATTTTCGTCTCAAAAAATCTGTGCCAATTTATATGGCAGTTAGAACACTCTGGGGCTCATCGACTTACTAACAGACAGACATAATGTGATTTATAACGGGATCATGAACAATTGCCCAATTCACAACAGTTTTGGCTTTATAAAGGGAACAGTTTTCCCCTCATGCCTTTCTACGAGTTTTTCTGCTATATAAATGTTGCCGTTTGAAGTTTTGGCAATTCAGCAGTTAATGTCTGCTCCAGTGACCGATCGCAATCATTCATTTGCAAGTGAGAACATTTTTTAGTGCTTTTCGAAAGACAGGACCAGATATTGCGTATATGAGGAGGCTGGACGAGTTCTGGGTGACCAGGAGTGCATCAGCCACGAGACTGTAGAGCTTTAAAAATATATATATTTTTGAACTAAACCATAAATTTCAATCCAGTTTATGCATTTAAGTTTTTAATGTGATGGGCGGCTCTCAAAAAAAGTTGGAGATAGTGAGAAAATAATTTTGTTTTTTAAGGGCAAACGAACAAAAGTTATCTATTTTTGTTTTCATTTGGCGCTTTCATTTCATTTTTTGGACCCGTCTCGAAGAGAAATAGCTATGTAAAATAAGATTCGATTCGGGTGAATATAAGAAATATACCGAAATGTGAAATTTGCCCTAATATTTTTCGCATTAACTCCCGTAATGGGTGAGGGGAGAAATGTTTGAAATAAGAAGTAATGAGGGGTGAAGGTGCCAAAAATTAAACGTTCGAGCATACTAGAAGCATTTTTCAAATAAGAGAAATTTTTTTAATTTTCATAGAAAGACTGAAATACTACTGACCTCGTTATTTTCTCCAATTATGTTCAAGTGTAGAAGAACGGCAGCTGCAGTTTTGATAGCCAAGAAAGACCCAACCTGTGCAAATATCATACGTTGATGTGCTTTTTCAACCCGCGCTCGCGAAGTCGAAATGCTCACCTGTCGATCTGAAAAATATATAAATGATATTGTTCGATGATAATCTTCGCAACAATCATCCCATTCAGCGTAATGCATTGTACATTCTATTAATTAAAGGTGTTCAGCTCTTACGGAGAAGCACTGTTGTGCCCATACTCAAAAATAACGTGCAATTTTTTTAATTTATTTTTAGGCTGGGTAATTCATCTGCATTTTC